CTTCCAAGCAACTTCCGCCAGTCATTCCAGAAATTTTCCTTGAACCTATCTTTCTGCATGTACTCTGTATCTCGCATGACTGCATACATTGTAGCAACCTGCAAAATAATTTGAATTTCATAATATTGTCAAAATCTTGAAGTTGATTTCAGAAATCAATAAAAGTACTTAAATGATCCCAAATCATAGAGAGCGAGAGAAAGGAACAAGAGCAAACAGTCACGCAAAATCTAAAGACCATAGTCTTCAGAGATAAAATCCCACCTCCTCTTGCTCAGGAGTCAAATCAACTGGTCTCCCCTTGAAGAGCATCTTTACCCCATGTGGCTGGTATGGAGGAGGAAAAATGACACCATTGTGAACCAAAGTAGTCCATTTTTTCTGCCCATCACCAGAGCTAGGAAGAAGTTTAGTAGATTTGGAGTATTCTGAATCTTTGCCTGCTTTTTTAAACGTCTTCTTGGCCTGTTTCTTAAAAGGTTTTGAGCCAGACTTGTTAACTTTATTGACCTTTGACAACACCTTCTTAGTGGAAGATGATTTATCACCCGACATGGATGATTTCTTTAATCTCTGGGAAATAGGAATGTCATCATCATCATCCTCCTCTGCCTTCAGCTCATGTTTCACAGGGATTGGCTTTTTTTTTATAGATGCAGCTGGATCTGAGACCTTTGGCTTCTTAACAGAGGGGTGCAAGGAATTACTATTATCTAATGGTCTCTTAGCTGGCAATGAAGATGGCTTATCCTGTTTATTACTCGTGCCAGAACCATTTTGCCGATCTTTCTGAATTTTCATGATAGGCTTTTTCTGATCAGAGTCATCGTGGTTACTGCTAGTTGTTCCCAAAATGGAATTACGGAGTATCTTTTTTGCCAAAGGGACATCATCATCATCAGAGTCTTCAGAAGATTTCTTGACAACAGCAGGGGTTGCTTTCTTATCATGGTTAGAGTTTATCAACCTAAAACTCAACGGCTTATTATCCTCATCATCTTCTGAATCTTCAAAATCAACTTTAGCAGAATGTTCGATAGATTTTGGTTCCTCCTTAACGTCAATGGGCATTTTCTGTTCCAAAAGAGGCTTTGTTTTTTCTCCCAATGAAGGTGATTTTGAATTTGCTACAGGCAGCTTCACAGAGGAGGAGTTGACAAGAGAATTTGAAGCTTTTGAGATACCTAGAGAAGGTTTCATGGACGATGGCTTAGCACATAGGACAGTATTACCTTTCTGCACGCTAGAAGTTTGGCCATTCGAAGAAGGTGCATTAGAATTCTGTCCATCATGACTGTGACAACTTGACCTCCTTGCTTCTGAATGCAACTGATTTTTCTTAGATGTGTATCTTTTGAAAATTATCCCATCCTCATCATCATCAAAATCACGTGGTACATTAGGTTTATCGGAAGTCTCAACAGCCATCATTCAACTATGGAAGGTGTTGGCATGTACATCACACACAATTCTGGAAAAACAAATGCAGTTCCAATTAATCATCAAACATCAAGTTTTAAATATCCAAAGCAATCTTAAAGTAACAACACCAAGAAAACATTATTTGTACAGCACTATGAGACGGGGTTTCAATTGCAACAAACGGGAAAACAACCTAATCAATTCTAGAGCTAATGAATATCATAAGACGGGGTTTCAATTGCAATAAAAGGGAACCCCTCAGTCAGCTGAAAGTATGAATAGAAACCCATCCCAGCACAGTGTGTTCAAACAGTTGATAAAATTTCACGCGACCCATGCCCTGAGGATATAGCATTAGCATATGATGCTCTCACACACTTACACGTAGAGGAAAACAAAAACCCTACATCATGATATGCATAAAGCAAAACAAACGAATTGCTCGGTCTTTCAATAAAACCATAAAAAAAATGTTGAATGAATTGGCCACTGAGACGATGTTCTCCTATGAAATTTCAGATTCATAATCAAAGCGAAGAAGAATCAGAATTCACACGACGAAAGCCTATTATTCTGTAAAACAGCTGGGAATAAGAGGGTTTGTCATTAAAATTGTGGAAGAGGCAGACGCGAAAAAATCTCAATCTGGAAATTGGGATAAAAGAGAAGCAGAAAGAGTTAAAGATAAGGCGGTATTGGCGCGTGAAGAGAAAAAGAGCATGCAAAAGGGGGAAAAGAAAGATCGAGAGCGAGAGCGAGAGCGAGAGCGAGAGAAGAGAAAGAGGGATACCGAAGAGGATGTGAATGGCGAAAGGGGTGGCAGAAGGAAGCGAGTGAATAGATGAGATAGGGATGTGCGAGGCGAGGGTAGCTCACAGATACAACCAAAAGAGAAAGAGAGAGAGAGGGGAAGAACGAGTTAGGGTGGGTGAGTTTTAACTCGACTCGGCGAGGCCAATACAATAAGATTTTACTTACAAAAACAGATGTCAGGTTGGGGTGTCCTGTGTTGTTGTTACTTTGCTCTCTCAGGCTCAGCCTCAGCCTCAGCTAACGTGCATCCTTTTCACTCTTCCCTCCATTTATCGTATCTGCATCCAATGGGCCCCCTTCCTTCTTCTTCAAAGGCCCAATTTCTTTTCGGGCTCGCTTTTCGCGCCTATCATCTCAGCCCATTCCAAATTTACCCAAACTGATAAGACCGCCTCTTTCTTTTTCTTTTTCGTCAGTGTCACTTTAGGATCCCGCCGTTATTAATTTATTAGTATTCCGTCTTCTTAAAAAAGAAAAAGTAAAAATAAAATAAAATAACAAAATCCGGAGAAAGAGGGATTTTCTTCATTGATTTACAATAAAAGAGATTTTTTTTATATTCTTATATATTATATTTAAAAAACTTAAAAATCTATTTTCATTCTTCTAAATCTTCTGACATTAGAAGGAAGGAAGAAAATAATTTAAATGGGGAGAGATTTTGTTCTCTTTTATTATTTTCCTTCCAAAAAAAAAATAATAAAAATCATCTCTTTCCTTTATTTATTTTTCTTTAACTAAATACTATGTTAAGCTTAACTTTTTAATTCAGAGCAAAGTTCTCGCCTTTCAAATAGAAATAAAATAAAAATTTTCAACTATTATCTAAATGTCCTGGCTCTAAACTCTCAAAATTACACTATTTTCATTGTTATCGATTATATAAAAATAATAATTGCTAATATATTTATGAGTATAAGTTTAAATTTTTGTTATTTTATATTATTTTGTGAGTTATAATTCTTAATAAATGTTTATTATTCATGTTATAAGTATTTTCAACTCACTAAATTAGAGATTAATTTCACTTGTAATATTATGATGATTATTGTTCTAACAAGTTTTTGCACATAATTGAATCAAACTCAATTTTCTTATACATCTTTTGAGCTATAGTTTTATATCTATATTTAATTAACATATTTCATTTGTATTTTTTAATTAAGAGCATAAAAATAAAATAAAATAAAAACATTCTATTATCTTATTGTCTTTAATTCTCTTATCATTTGTTTGATGGTCAGAATATGATAACATAATATAATATTTATCTTATTTCATGTATAATAATTAATCATTAAATTTCTATATATTAAACACGAATATTTATCTTACACAAGATTATTTTTAGGAGTTTTGTTTTGACAAAAAGATTTTTACAAATTTTTTTATATTTTATCTAATTTAATTTTTATTTCAGAATTATCTATTAATTAAATTTTAATATCTTAAAAATAAATAATCAATAATTAAATATATTACTATGTTATAATATAAATTATTTATCATAGACTTAGAACATAATTTGTATGTTTTAAAATTTCTATTTAAACAAATTTTAAATGTGACTTATATATTCAAACATATATTTAATTATATATATATATATATATATATATATATAATATCTAATTTTTATATATTTTAATTATATATAACCACAAGCATGTGGTTCAGCGGTAGGGGTTGATCCACGCTTAAGCAAGGTCAGGGGTTCGAATCCTGCCTTGTGTATGCAGCCCCATTAAATCTTGGGACCAGCTATCCCACCCTTTGAAGTGGCTCCCACGTAGCGAGGAGATTAGTCACCGCTATCAACGGTGGATACTCCAGGGACGAACAAAAAAAAAAAATTTTAATTATATATAAGAAATATCTTGATTGTGCATTATAAAAGCCAAAATACTAGTTACTTATTATGTTAATTAGACATAATAGTCTTATCATATCCCTTATCCTATATCACGCTTATTCAGTATTTTTTTTATTTTAAGAGAGAGTTGAGTTAAAAAACAACACGATATAATAGATTTTGTCTTATCTCTCTATATATAATTATATTATATAATAGATTTTGTCTTATCTCTCTATATAATATTATATTATATTATATAAGCTTAAATATATACTTTTAGCTCCTACACAAAAATAAATTTTAAATTTATGCTTGTGAAAAAATCTTTGCTTTCATTCTTTGAATTTTGAAATCATTATTTTTTTGTCCTTACAAACTAAATAAATTTTAATTTTAATCCCTAAATTTTTTAAAAGTTACTATTTTTAAGTCCTCAACAATTATTTTTAATATATATATATAAACTATTATAAAATTTAGAAAAAACTTAGAGATATTATACATTAACATGATATCTTTAACATTTGTTGATGTCGTGTAACTTTCAATTAAACATAAAAATAGTTAATGAATATTATATAATAGTGATGACTAAATGTAAAATTTGCTCTTCTAATAGAGACCAAATACATGTTATACAAATTTCATAAATTTAAGTTAAATTATATGATATCAACTTAACGCGTATCAACTTTTAGATAAAATATATAATTTAAATCAATGTAAGTTTTTATAAAAAAATTATTTAATAACAACTCTCGAACCAACTACTAATAAATGAAATTCAATATTTATATTAAAATATTAAGTGAAGTTAGACAAGATTCACTCTCCGTGGAAGTGGATTCCTTGACATGATATTCTAAAATGTTTGAATGTAGGAGTGACTAAACTATTAAGCGGGACGAGTTTCACCTTGAACATTACATTACAATTATATCCTTAAAGTCCAATGTAGTCCTATATCACAGCTTGTAAGAGAAAATCACTTAAAACGCGCATTTGGTACGACATACTCATTTTCAACCCCATGAGGGAGAAGAATGGTATTAACGACGAGTTTATGATTCACCGTACTGTATTAGTCCAGTGAAGTATATTGCGCACTGTAGTGGCAGTGGCAATGACAATCATGCATAACTATTTCAGCAGAAATGACCGTGTAACTGAGTTTCAGTGCAGCATCGAGGGCTTGAACTTCACGATCCAAAAACCAAGTCACGTATAGAAGTCAAAGGTGAGCTGTAACCATGTACTGCACTGTCTTTCCAGAAAGCCATTCCTGTCACAAGGAGAATAAAATCATATGTTTGTTGCAATGGGGCAAAGGAATGCAATGCAATCTTGTATGAGGGTTTTTATAAGATACTTTTACATAAAATAGTTATAACACCCTTTTGTTGACTATGAAGAGACAAAAGTATATAACTAAATTAAAAAATGGGCTATTCATTACAATCACACAACAACCAATTATTTTGAAAAAAAACAAAATCGCTTTATAATACATAAAGAATCACACTTTTGTGGAGAATGTATGCAGCTATGTTCGCAACAGGAATACCTATTTAATAGATTTAACATATGGTTGCTCAAGACATAATACAAATGTGTGTAATGCATCATCAACGGTAACAGTAAATCATCATTACATCAACCTATGAGGACATTACTCAAATATGACATAACAAATCCTAGGCAAGGCAACAACAAATATATCCATAACAGTGTGTTAATGGGTGCTATAGGGTTAAGAGAGTAACCTATCCACGAAACCAGACCAACAGTTGCTGCTAAGAAGAATTCCTTGCTGATAATGTTTAAACTGGAAAAGGCGGAAAATTAGTTTACAAATGATTCTATATTTTGCTCAAAAGGGCACTGGAAAGAAAAGTGCATAAGCAAACTGGACATAAAACTTACAGATATAAGCATGCAATATTTCCGTATCCATAGAAAAAGGTAGCCCACGCTGAACCAGTGAACCTACCATCATAGTTAAAGAGTTAACATATGCAGAAGCAACTTGACAAGATTACAACAAACACGGCATTTAAAATGGAAAAGTATAGGCAATGGTAAAGTTGGATACATGAGTAACATCCAATCAATAAATTTCTACTTAAGTGAGTATGATAGATCTGTTAGTTGAGAGCCTCAATTAGTTAGCTAGGCGACAGCTAGTCAGTCAGTGGGTTACTCAGTTAGTGAGTGAAGTGGCTGAGGCTGATGTATATAAATAGGAAGAGGAGTTGAGAGGAGTTATTCATTATGTGGGAATTGGTAAAGGAATTAGGAGAGACTTGAACCTCTCGAAAGTCCAGGACTGTTCTTAATAAAAATTCATTCCTTCATTTGCATATGAACTAGTTCCTATCATATTATCATTAGAGGAAGCAGATAAAAGTAACACTCATTAAAAAAGTAGCATTTAAATTGAATCACAATTCACCACCATCACAACCAACAAGGCAATTTGAGTAATGCAGTATTTTCTAATTTCCACACTTTACTGTTACCAACTGTTACAATTGTCAACAATGATTCAAAAAAAAAAAAAAATCATTTAACCACTACGATTTTTGTTCATAACTACTATTACTGGATCAGATAATATTTCACACTGTTAAAATTGTTGTCAGCTATTTTGCAGAATAGTTCACAATAGTTTTAACAATATTTGATAATACTTCAAGATGTAAGGGGAAGAGTACAAACAACATTTCATTACTCGGGCAATTTTCATTCAGGTCATAAAAAAAGCCACCTGCTGTGAGTAATTGAGGAATTTTCTTGAGTGAAGAGCAGGACTGTTACACTGCTTTCAGATATTATGTCTTGCAGCAAATTTGGCATTGCCATAATTTGTGATTAATAGAGCACAAGAGTCAATAAAAGAAAAATAATTACCACATGAAATCACGAATCAAGAGAGCACGAGGAAGCATAAGCCCATTTCCAAGCATGGCAAGTAACATAGTAAAAGCCGACAAGCCTTTCATGTTCTCGGGATTGAGATAATTTGTCCACTACGGCAGAATAAAAAGGTTAATAAAAATGCATAGGAGATAAAAGTTGAATTACCTCTGAAGCAATCAAGTTCTCGTGTAAAAAGTTTACCATTTGAGAAACCGGCATCCACATGAAGAGTAATGTAGCTGTCCATCCAGATATTCCTCCAACAAATTTGACACCTTTCTCAGACAGTTTTCCAGTTCTTGCCTGCAAATCTTAGATCAAAGCATTTAAAATGATAATGAAACTGAAAGACTTTACAATTCCAATGGTCCCAATCTATAAACAAGACCCCAGGCCCACATTCAATTTTCTTGGTTTCAGTTAACAAATACGGTGGCATTTAAATGCAACAATTAGGAAATCCCATTTTGGCACTATCTTCTTTTGCGTGAGTTGATGAAATAAGTGACTATATGAAAATTCAACAAATATATGGGATTCTGTCTTGCACTGATAAGAGATGATGGTATGCATTGGTATGATATGGATAATGACACATAGCACTCATGAAAAACAAATATAATTTATTTATTTAAATTATGGTTGACATATTCACAATAATTTCAAGGTGGCTAGACAAATTACTATTTACAAGTTATATGCCCATATGTACTGGGGATGAGTACATGACCATTTCAGGTATATATCAAGGCAACCTGGATTTATTATTAAGACATAATCAAAGATAACCAAAGGAGATAAGAAGATTACCATGGTAACAGCCAAGACTGCAATCACAAAGGCAGCAGCCCCAGGTAAGATGCTGTTAGGTATATAGGGGACAAATGTAGACCACATTATCTGCATCCAGATTGTATATTAGGTAATGTGAGATAGTTAGTAAAAGTTATGGGGAAAAAAATTAATGTATCCATGTGAGTGAAAAGATATTACACTTAATAAATGTGAGCAAGTGTTAGTGAATTGACATGCTTGACAAGTACTTTACAAAATGAATATAAGTTGATAAAATGTTCCAATTGTATTGATCCAAGGGTGAGAGAAGGAAATAAGTATTACTTGGGGAAGCACTGATAAACCCCCAATCGTGATGAAATCTTCCCAAAAGCCAAAGATTCCAGCATTGAGTAAACCAAAGTAATTCAAGAAATTGAGAACAAGGCCGGAGACCACAACAACCGAAGTAGCCAAAAAGTAAGGCAAGGGCATGGTTTCAGCCAAGGCTAGCTGAACAAGGACAACGTAGGTGGAAACCACACCCAATGTCTGCACCACCATGGCTTCCTTTTCTCTCTTCTTGGCAAAGTAGGAAAGCAGAGACAAGTTCCCAAGCAAACTAGTTAGCATACCCTGCATCCACAACCATCTTAGATCACATCACATCATAATTTCGAAAAATGCAAAAAACCTCAACGATTTTGAAACAGTAACTAATTTTCATTGAAATGCAAGGAATATAAGTATTTTTTTTCAAAAATAAACCATCAATTTAGTACCTGAATTATCACTTTCAATCCTAACTAGTTTTTAAATTTTAAACTAATGAAATTATATAAATAATATTGTTGGGATAAATTTTTCTGAAAACAATTCTAAGAGAAAAAATAGGAAGAAAAAATTAAATAAACTCTTGCATAAACTATTTTATTGATGCTCTCTTCTATTAAGCTTTCTAAAATCTTATTTTTTTAATCTATGCATAAGCTAATTTTAGTTTATAGGAAAACTTATTTCCATTTTCATTCTTATTTTTTTTTCTCTTATAAACACTTCTGGAGAAGTTTGTCCAAACAAATCCTTATCCATAACTAATAGAATCAGCCTAATAATGAGGTAAAGATTGATGCATGAGAACTTAAGTTTGATTTTTATTGTTGTCATTGTAATATCTCCTATCGATGGAAACAAAAAGTATTGAATTGCCATCAATTTAGTCACCAAGTTGATATATGTAACTAATACAGAGGGGTTAATTAGAAGAGTTTTCCAATACTTGAAAGACTATGTAATACTCACTCCAGACTTATATAAACAATTTCAATTAAATCAACTTTATTTAATACTTTATTTATAAACAATAATGAGAGCATTATTTACAATAAATGAAATTAAGGATATTTTAGGAAAATGTTGTGTACTCCCTACCTCCAGTTTTGCTAGGTTTTGGCACGGGACTTAATATGACTGATTTCATAAAACAAATTACTCTCTTTGTTCTCTATTATAAGCAAAAAAAAAAAAAAAAAAAAAAAAAAAAAAAAAAAAAA